ATGGAACACCGTGAAACAATTTGTCGAAATTTTTATTCAGAAAATGCATTTGATCAGAGAAGTTGACATGAGTGGAACATACACTATTCATTAATCGCTCGTTACATGAGTCGTTCATGTAATGTGAGGATTAATGTGATAGTTTCGGATTTCAATTGTACATTGAATTGTAAAGGTCACAGAGATGTTATATCAGAGGGAATCGTTGAAATGAATATCGATAACAAAGGTAAGAAAAGAATTTCCCTATGCTATGATATTGCTATTGATCCGGTGCTGATACCAGCTTTGGAGTCGGTGGTGTTCCTCCATTCGCTTTATACGGCTGGTTCAAATACTGCAATGAAAAGAAAACGTTTTTTCTATAGGTGTTTCTCGAATTGCAACAATTACAAAAAATCCTAATGGTAGGGCGTGAATGTGTGATTCACCAAATGGAATTCGTGGTAAGCACGTCAGTTCTGACAGTGAAGTTGACTAGTTACCGTGAAATGAACCATATTCTCATTTTAGCATTCAATATGAATTTCTTCAGGAATTTTTTTTTGCCAATCAGCTCTTATTTAAGTTGACGAAAATGCAGATAAGAACCAGACTTGGATGCAGTATTCGTTTGAAACTGGTTCAGGTTTGAGCTCAGGTTCGCTCTTAGACTTGTGATCAGACTTCGACTCTGAGAAGGCTAAATTAGCGTTTATCTGCGTCAACATTTCAATCATGAAGGAAACTTGGAGAGTAAAGTGATAATGATGAAGGAACGTATGGAAACCTTTTTGTAGAGTTCATAAACGGTAGCGACACACGCCATCTGTCCAGCATTCGAAAGGATTATACGCAAAATCAAAATACCGTCCCAACCGAAATCTTCGTACATACGTTGGATCGTTGTTTCCTCCTCAAAAATTCCACTTGCACTAGCTTTGAGTTCGTTTATATTTGATTTTGTTTACTTCATGCAACGAAATTTTTCGAATTTGTTAATGAGTGAGTGTCATGCAACAAACTATGCTAAAATCGTTTACTGGAAAAATTATTCATGATTCTAATTGTAAGAATTCATTTATGAGAATTTGCAACGTTTGAATGGAAATTCTGTTAATTCTGCGGAGAGCACTGATTGTTGACTGATGAATTGCACATTTTGTATAGCATTTAGAGGTATTGCGAGGAATTTTTTTTTGTGCAATAAATTAGTTACAAGCATTTCGTGATTGATAGTTAACGTGTGAATGGCAAAATGAATGAACTGCTAACGATTTCGTCCTTCCTTGGTCTGTCCAGAGCCTAAAATCGAGCTAAGATACAATTTTAAAATCAGCAGAATCGAAAGCTCAAGAATGCTTATGAAAGCTGTTCAGCTGAGAACAATGAACAAGTTTCGCCTTCATTATATGCAATCTAAAGCAAACTTATTTGAACCTTAAAGGCTATTCAGTTGCCAAAGTACTATAGTGAAAAGTGACAATTGGTGTGTTGCGGGGACAGAAAAAAGTCGTGGACAGGGAAATTCGAGGATGAAATTTTGCAGCTGGAAACCGTGAAAGTGCAGTCGGCTCGAAATAGGTCAGGAACGGAGATAGGAAATCGGCGACGGGGTCACGGAAATTGCCCGGTCCCCGCAGCACATTAGTAACATTAGTCATGTATTAGCCCCGTATAAAATCATATTTAATTGCATGTATAGGTTTAGTTTTAATGCGTTCTCTGCTAA